CTCCTGCCTCAGCCTCCCAAGTAGCTGGGACTACAGGCATGTGACACCATACACGGCTAATTTTTTCTATATATGTTAGTTGGCCAATTAATTTCTTTCTATTTATAGTAGAGATAGGGTCTCGCTCTTGCTCAGGCTGGATTCGAACTCCTGACCTGGAGCAATCCGCCTGCCTTGGCCTCCCAGAGTGCTAGGATTACATGCGTGAGCCCAGCCCCCTGTTTTGATTTTTATCAATTGGGATGTGAATCTTCCTCTTTTGAATGAAGGTGATTTCCAAAAACATTCAGAAATGGGAATCTTAGAGAAGAGATGCTTTGAAGAGGAAGCCTTGCCATTTTCCTCTTGTGCTGACTTGGTAACTATCCAGAGCCCTTACCACACGAAAGACAAGGACATAGTTGTGTTTATAGGTGTGGTCCCTAGTGCTCCTTATCATTTCACGTCTGTCTTTTTTTCCTTCCAGTTCATTTTGTTTCCTCCACTTATAACTTCTTTTGTTAGCTCAAACCTCTGTCTTCTCTCCTCACACTCAGATCACAGTTGACCCTATTTAAGGGGAGTGGATCCAGTAATCGCTTTTATTCATGCTGTTACTGCATGATATAGTCACATACTTAGAATATATTTAGGATAAATCTCTGAGATTTTAGGTCAAGATCTCTACTGCCACTTAGCCTAGAGAACAGTACGGTACTTGCAAATCACTTTATAGAACTAATCTTCAGTATTGTCCCTTAATATTTACCTCTGCTTAGCAAGAATTTAATGAGGTCTTAATTGCTCCTTTCTGGGAAGAATTGGATTTTTTCTTTAGGGAAAGGAATTATTTATATTTCTAGACAGGCTTAATTTCTATTAGACACATTTTTATTGTCTGTTTTTTTCTGTTTTTCCATGTAATCTCTAATGACTTCATTGAAATAGTTTCTGATTATCCTACTTGATTTTTAAGCAAAAAAGAAATTTCTGCCACCATCTGCTGGTAGCTTACAAACCCTCAAATTAATTATTCACTATTTAGCATTACTTCTTGCCTTCCCTTTCCTGCAGTCACACCCTATTTCTCTTTTTTGTTCTTTTTTTTGTTTTCTGTTTTCTTTCTTTTTTGTTAATTACTGGATCTTAATGATCTTGTAATCAATCTGTATCATGATTTGACATGTTAAATATCTGTCATAAGAACTTTTGAATGGCACTGTCCAGGTGCTACAAATAAAAGAATTTAAGAATTAAAATGATGTATACATGGCTAATACTAATTATCTACCCTAAATGAAGAGGAAATTTTTGAAGAAAATTCTAATATTTTCCTAAATTTCATGTAACTATCAGAACTTATTTATACATTCCTAAAATTAATTTTTAATACTAAGCCATATAAAGGGAGGCATTCTACTATTATGATCAGTGTTATTTATCAAGTAGCTATCTGCCAAAAAATATCCTTTTCTGCAACCAACAGTAATGGTTTCATGGTTAGTTATAGAAAGCTGATCATATATTTTATCTGGACTCATAGAGAGCTTTACATTTTCATGAATTAAAGTATCTATATTTTCATTTTTCATTACTTATTTCATTATTTCTTATTTAATTTTATTTTTAAAATATTTTTATTAATTTTCAAGTCTAAATTCTTCTCTATACTAATGCTTAAAAGCTACATCATTTAAGTTCCTGAAGTTATCCTTTCCAGTATCTTTCTGTTTAAATTTGCATGAGTTTGTTTTATAGTACAAAACACAAAGCACTTTTCCTCATTACCTGAAAGTTTGTTCAAGCCTATGGAGAAAAGAGAAAAATGATCATAGAGCATGTTCTTGTAGGGAGGGATTTTGGTGGGGGACAATGTAGGAGGAGGGAGAAGGAGAAAGTACATGAGCACACACAGTGTTAAGTCACCAACTGCTCTTTCTTGACAAGGGCTGTCTTTGTTTTCTATCTTTAGATAATGCCTTTTCTATTCTTTTTATGAAATGATAATAAAGCATAGGTAGCTAGATTATTTTAATGACCTTGTTTGACAAAATTAAAAATTGTTCATCCTAATTGGGTCTCTAAAATTTCTTAAAATTGTACTGGTCTATGAAAATCTCAAAGTCTGAGAAAAGTGGTAAAGCTGCCTGCTCAAAAAGTATAGCATATTGTTTCCTTAAATTAAGTCTTATTTTGGTAAAATCACAATTTAAAAATTAATCAGTGTCCCAATTTGTCATCAAATGGAAAATCAAGCATGTTTAGGTATGTTGTTTACAGTGTAAAACAATTTTTCTATAAAAGATATTTTTCTATTTTGATTATTGAAATTAATTCATTATGCATTTACTAGAATTCATTGAGTTTAATCTTATAAACAGTATATTATTGCTCTGTTACTTGATAATTCAAAGTGGAAATATTCTGCTCTCATATTTCAAATCAAAGAAGTCAGAATCAGAACCTAGTGTTTGATGTCTGAAATCCTAAACAATCCCAGTGATTATGCTCATGGAACATGAGGGCTCATTTTGGGGTCAGCTGGGGGACCATGCTTCTTGTGGCTCATCTAGTGGGCCCAACTGTGGCTTGATAACCTGCTTGCTCTAAAATCATACTGTTTGTTGTTTGTCCATATGCTGCCTTCCTCCTAGGACTTCTAGCAGCAGAAAGTAGGTATCCCTTTGTTTTCCTCTAAGGTTTATCTTTTATGCAAAAGTGTTTGGCTTTGCATGGTTCATAATCAGCTTGACTTTTTCCTTGGCTGTTTGTGTTTAGATGTTTAAGTATGAATTTTAACACTGCCTGATCATAAATAAAAATTTGGATATGTTGATTTCTTGAGGCATTGTTACACAACATTAACATCTCACTTCTTTCATATGAGGAAAAAAAGGCAGTGTTAAAATTTTAGCCACGTTTAATATTATTTCACATCTGAGTTTCAAACACAAATACATTAATTATGGGGAAAGGGTAACATTTTATTTCATAGTTTGCTTCCAAGTAAACTTTCAGGGTAAGTGAATTTTCATTTGACAATGACATAAGCTATAAGTGGTCTTTATTACTTTCTGTTGCTGAGTCCATTTTCAGTTTATTAATTTGGAGCTGTGAAATAAACTGTGAAATTGTATCTTAACTTTTATTATCAGATAGAACATTTATAAGGAATAATATAATGGCTAGATTTTAATTACAAAGGAATATCTCTTGAATATGTGAGAAAATTAAAATGTAAGAAATGTACACACACACACACACAAATGAGTACAAGTAAAACAGACAATCTGAATAAGATAGGTGGATTGTATCAATGTCAGTGTTCTGGTTATAACATACTATAGTTTTGTGAAATGTTACCAATGGGGGAACTAAGCAAAGTGTACAAGAGGTCTCTCTGTATTAGTTCTTATAAATGCATATGAACCTACAATTATCTCAATAAAAATTTTATTAAGAAAATACAATAAACTTCTACCTCAAAGATAAATGAGAAAATCTTGGTATTAATTGTTAGGTCCGGAGCTGAGAGAGAAGGACACATGAAGCCTCATGTGTAGTAAAATGCTGTTTATTTTGAGCATCTGGGTACAGATGGGTAGAGGCAAAAAAGCATCCACAGTGAGGGAGGGGAAAGCCTTGGGTTTTATAGAGGGTTTCGTAGGGGGAAGTGAGTCCCTGGGCCAGAATAGCCACAGCAATTAAAAATTAAAAAAAAAAATGATTTCTGGGACCCATGGGTCAGTCTCATCCTGTGGTGATAGGGGGGAGGGTAGTTCTGTCCTTATTGGGGGGATAGGAATGCTGCAGCCTTCTGTTAGATTTTACAACCTCTGGGGATTCTCCAGACTCCTGTGGCTATTATTTCACTGTTACAGAAAGTATTACAGTGGGTGGTCCCAAGGACAAACCAAGCAGCACATGGAGGGCCCCCCCCCCAGGGGCCTCACCACCAAATTCTGAGCCCCATCTCTCCAGGATTGGGGTATCAGGTGGTATCAGGTGTAGGTTAGTTGATGCGCCAGGCGACAGATTTAGTGTTATGCTGATGTCAGGTAATAGACTAGTTGATGGGTCAGGTAATAGGTTAGTATTATGCTGATGTGGGTCTTCTGTGAGGGGTGGGGGGTCTCAGGTGCCTGAAGCACCAAATAATAGATGGGGGTTTCCCTTATCATCACAAACCTCAGTTTTCCATTAGCCACATTCCATCCTGTATGTATTTTTCGAGTTCCCACCTACAACAAACCTAATGTTAATGATTAAATTCATTGTCATGTTTTCTTACATTAGTTATTTGTAGCTCAAATTATAGCTGATTGAATGTAAAAATCTCATAGTTGTAAGGTTTTTCGGCTGCGGTGAAAAGAAAAGACAGAAAGAGTGGGGGCCAAACCACATGGCTTTATTTAATGCTCCCAGACGAGGTTCTGGGGCCCCAAGAGAGGGGGGGCCCAGAAGTCACCTCCGTTTGAAGGGGCTGAGGCCTTTTATACCCTTTGGGCCTGGCTAGCGACTTTTGGCAGGAAGAATTGGGGATTTTCCATTGGACCTTGGGTGGTCATTGAGAAATAGGAGAGGCTGGAGGTATTTGTGGAATCCAGGAGCATAAGTTCTTATCCAGGTGGACATCTGGGTGTGGTTCCTCTCAGCGGGGCCTGGCAGTTTTGTCCTTGGCGAGTGAGCCTTTTCTTTTTTGATATAGAGAAGGGAGGGGGGCCTACCACCAATCTTACAATAGTATATTAGTTACCTATTGTTGTGTAGTAAATTATCTCAAAGCAGCATTTATCATCTCAAAGTTTTTGTGGGTCAAGAATCTAGGCCTAGCTTAGCTGAGTGCCTCTGGCTCAAGATTTTCCATGAGATTGCAGTCCAGAGCTGCCATCTCACCTGAAGGCACCACTGCAGGGGGAATCCTTTTCCAAGCTCACTCACATGCTGTTCCGGCAGATGTGAACAGCTCTTGGCCGAAAACCCGAGCGGCACACGGAGAGTTGGAAAGTCAGCTTTATTTCGCCGGCGGGCTCAGAGAGGCATATCTGCCACCAAACTCTGAGCGCCCCTTTTTCGTTTTCTTTAAGTTTTATACCTTTTTGGAGGTTACAGTTAGCCAACGGCAAGTTTTCACAAAAGTCACCTCATTTACATAGTAGTCAGCCAATCAGAATTATGTCCCAAAAGTTACTTCATTTACATAGTAGTCAGCCAATCAGAAGTATGTCCCAAAGTTACTTCATTTACATGGTAGTCAACCAATCAGAACTATGACCCAAAATCACCTCATCAGCTGTGAGTACTAGTAGCTGCTCAATTTAGGAGCAGGATAAGCAAAACAGGCGGGTTTTGGTGGAACCCCCTGACAATGCTTGTTGATAGGCTTTGAGTCCTCATTGACTGTGGTCCTCTTCACAGGGCTGTTCACAGCCTGGCAGCTTGTTTCCCCAGCACAAATGATCAAAGAGAGGACAAAAGTGAGAGTGCACCCAAGACAGAGACAGTCCTTATAATTTAATCTCGGAAGTGATTCTATCACATCTGCCCTTTTTGTTCATTAGTAGTGAGTAGGCCTGGCGGGGTGGCTCACACCTATAATCTTGGCCCTCTGGGAGGACAAGGCTGGAGGATTGCTTGAGCTCAGAAGTTCGAGACCCACCTGAGCAAGAGAGAGACCCCTGTCTATACTAAAAATAGAAAAAATTAGCCAGAAGTGATGGTACGTCCCTGTGGTCCCAGCTACTTGGAAGGCTGAGGCAGGAAGGTCGCTTGAGCCCAGGAGTTTGAGGTTGCAATGACCTATGATGATGCCACTGCACTCTACCCGGGGTGACAGAGCAAGATTGTATCTTAAAAATAAAAAAGTGAGTCAATAAGTCTAGCCCACACTCCAGGAGAGGAGATTGATTACACAGGGTAGGAATACCAGGAGGCCAGGTCATTGGAGGCCATCTTAGAGGCTGCCCACCATGTACAAGTTAATGACTATGAAAACATAAGATTCTTCCCATCTTAGCACCTCTCCATGCGCCCCCACACCCACCCCCGTGTGTGTCCCTCTCTCTGTCAGCAGACCTGTCATGTCATTTGGGAATGAGCACCTTGAATATACCAATAGTGCTTTTACTTAGTTGTAAGACTTTACACAATGGGCACTTGACAGCCACAAGATGTTATTGAAGTACTCTGAAAAATGTGTGCTCAAAGATGTTGCTATTTGGAAGCATATACTATTTTAATAATCATAATGGCATTAGAATTATAACATCTGTATTCTGACAGAATACATATGCAGAGTTTAATAAATTTTGAGGTATCTAAACTATAATGTATGTATAAAGAATCTAAAGCATTTATCACCATACATAAGTTTTCATAACTTGAATTTTATATATTCAATGCTTAAGTTCAAAAATAAGTTTTCGGAGGGGGGGAAATGGGCATTTATTGAAACCTTAAAATCTGTACCCCCATAATATGCCGAAATAAAAAAAATTAAAAAAAAATATATAGTTTCCATTACAGGATTCACTATTGCTTATAATTTTTTTTTTTTTTTGAGACAGGGTCTCACTTTGTTGCCCAGGCTAGAGTGAGTGCCGTGGCGTCAGCCTAGCTCACAGCAACCTCACACTCCTGGCTCAAGCAATCCTCCTGGCCTCAGCCTCCCGAGTAGCTGGGACTACAGGCATGCGCCACCATGCTCGGCTAATTTTTTCTATATATATATTAGTTGCCCAATTAATTTCTTTCTATTTATAGTAGAGACGGGTCTCACTCTTGCTCAGGCTGGTTTCGAACTCCTGACCTCGAGCAATCCGCCCGCCTCGGCCTCCCAGAGTGCTAGGATTACAGGCGTGAGCCACCGCGCCCGGCCATTGCTTTATAATTGATTGATAACCAGAACTTGCTTGTACAATGGGAATAAAAGCTGTTGACCAGGGGATGAGGATGGGGGAAGAGATTGACTGCAGAGAAACAAGAAAGAACTTTTCAAGAGTAATGACAATAAACACTTAAATTGGTGAATTTTAACTTAATAAAGTATACCTTAGTAAGCACATTTTTTAAAAAAAAAATGGTATTGTGCTTGCAATGATGGGCTTTGAGTGGATAAGAATGTATGCATAGTGGCCCAGTGTGGTGGCTCACGCCTGTAATCCTAGCACTCTGGGAGGCTGAGGCGGGCGGATTGCTCCAGGTCAGGAGTTCGAAACCAGCCTGAGCGAGACCCTGTCTCTACTAAAAATAGAAAGAAATTAATTGACCAACTAAAAATATATATACAAAAAATTAGCCGGGCATGGTGGCACATGCCTGTAGTAGTCCCAGCTACTCAGGAGGCTGAGGCAATAGGATCGCTTGAGCCCAGGAGATTGAGGTTTCTGTGAGCTAGGCTGATGCCACAGCACTCACTCTAGCCTGGGCAACAAAGTGAGACTCTGTCTCAAAAAAAAAAAAAAAAAGAATGTATGCATAGTGATACAGTGTGTTAGTGGATCATTCATACAGGAAAGAGAGGTTATTGATTACTCTTCAGGAGAAGCTAGACTAAATTCACATGCTGGATTTGCTCAGTGAAACTGGGTTTCGTAACTGTACATATAATTTAAGAAATATACAAATCTTTATTGAAATAACTACAGGCAAAACATGGGTGTATCAAAACCCA